CATTCAACATTTTGTTGCTCCTTGACAACGCACCAGGACACTCGCCCCTACTGTTGGATCGTCACCCCAACGTAAAAGAGGTCTTCCTTCCCCTAACACTACGTCATTAATCCAGCCCATGGATCAAGAGTTAATTTGTAATGTTAAGGCTGCTTTCTCCGCAAAGAAGTTTTGGCTCCTTAATGACTTGACCAACACCAAAGATGAGTTGCGGAACCTGAGTGACACCGATAGCGAGAACGAGGACGAGGAGAAAGAAGAGTTGGCGGAGCATGAAGTTCGCGTCAAACAGTTTTGAAAGAAATTCAACGTCAAGAAAGCTGTTGATTTCTTGGTGGAGGCAAGGGGGCAGCTGCCTGTGGCAACAATTCGTCACGCGTGGCGGCATGTGTTGCAAGGTATCCCAGGTGGGAGGCAGAGAAAACATGTGACTGGTGAGGTTCAATCTGTTGCAGTGGCACTGGACCTTGCAAGAGAAGCTGCACAGTGTGTTACAGCTGCAGACTTCTCAGAGACCACCAACGACGACATCATGGAGGTGATCAGGGATCTTGAGGTGACTTACGACGATATGTTGAAAGACGATGACGTCAGTGAGGAGGCAGGTGGTGCGGCAGCACCAGAACAGAAGTTAACACATGGTGATATAAAGGATACCATCGAGTTTGCAGAGAAACTCAAACTCATCCTTTCCAATGACCCTCTCAATCACCGGTATGAAGTCTTCAATAACCATCTAGACCAAGGTATGGAGCAGTACATCAAGATGTATCACGAACACATCAACACTAGCCGTCAGCGTAACATCACCGACTTCTTCGCCCGCAACCCACCACAGCCAGCCCAAGTCAGTGATAGTGACTTTGAGGGGTTTGTCAGGGAGGCCCTGATATCTGTGGTGGATAGCGATAGTGATTCACCCGAGGGCCACTAAACTGCCCTCTGCCTTGGAACCAGCCTCCATCCATGTATGCCGACCCATCTCTTCTACTAACGTAAGTGTTAAACCTTGATTTTCCTTTTACCTAGTGCAGTAAAATATTCTCTTATTGATATTTATCTTCTATATTATGTGTGTGTGCATACCATCATAAAATTAAGATACTATTTTTACTACAACGTACGTATTGTGTCGGAAAAAGTGGAGTTTGGGGGTCGGCCCAGTCTCTATTTCAATTAATCCCATATGTTCTGTTATTTCATTTACGCGTTTCTTGTTTTACGCGGACCTCCACTGGTTCAACTGACTGTGTAAATCCAGACTATACTGTATATCATAAACAATTTAATGTACTGTATTGTATGTGTTTATAAATGTTTATTTTCATTCATAAAAGTGCTTGAATTACGTTTTTGGGGCCGAAAAAAATTTGGAAGGAACGCATCTCCAGTTTTATAATGGAAGTCAATGGGAAATTAGGTTTCGCGTTACGGAATTTCGCGATATGGGTCAATTTTCCAGGAAACCTTTCCGCAATGCGGGATATATATATATATATATATATATATACAGTGGGGTATGCTATAATGAACAGTTTATATAAAGATTATTCCTATAACGAACGGGTTTCCCTATAAAATTGAAAATGCTATAACGAACGAAACTCCTACAACAAACAGTATTTATTTTTTTACTAATTTATTATTTTTTATTACAAGTATTAATGATATTCTTTATTTCAGGAGTTTAAATGCATATTTATGCACTTTTTTACAATTTTATATTATATTTTTCAGTGTTAAGTGGTTGTATTTGAGGGCCTGGAACGGATTAATCCTATAACGAACGAGGATCTAGAACCAATTAGATTCGTTATAGCATACTATATATATATATATATATACAGCTAGACCCCGACTTACGACGGGGTTAGGGAACCAAATCCAGGTCGTAAGTCCGACAGGTCGTAAGTCCGATAGATAAAAAAAATTTTTTTTTTTTTTTTTTTTAAATAAAAATCTACAATGAAATACAGTACAGTAAAAGTAATGAATAATGATGAATGGATACAGTACAGTGAAAGTAATAAATAATAGGAATGGATACAGTGTGACTGAGCACTTAACCTTTAATGTAGTCAGTTGAATGCACATGGGGCCCCCATAATTTTCTAATTATACATGGAGACTACATTAACTGGAAACGTTTGGTATAGAAATCATGTGTCATTAAAAAAAAAAAAAAAAAAAAATTTATCTATATCTGAGGCGGTCGAAGTCCACGTAGTCGTAAGTCGGGCTCAGGTGTATACACACAATATATATATATATATATATATATATATATATATATATATATATATATATATATATATATATATATATATATATATATATATATATATATATATATATATATATATATATATATATATATATATATATATATATATATATATATATATATATATATATATATATATATATATATATATATATATATATATACACACACACACACACACACACACACACACACACACACAGTCAGGGCCATCCCTAGGAGGGTGCGGGCTTGGCAACTCAGCTACTACGGGCCCCACCAACCCCCATGGGACTGTCGCTATGGATGGTAAGGTCACGGTTACATGGTGGAGTAAGCTGTCAGGTCGGATTAACCAGTCAACAGGTAATGTGTCCGAGGTCCCTGGGTCTAGTTGGCACCTGGGCCACAACACGGCGGGCCTCGGCGACGCTCTACAGGACGGGCCTGTATACAGTCGACCCGCATTCGACCCTGTCCGATTTCGATAAATTGACAAAATCTGAACTGTCGCATTAAATTCCTGGTTCTGATTGTCCCAGTTGCAATTTGGGGTTGCAATTTCAAATTTCAGGTCATTACTTAAGGAATAACGAAGTCTCTGGTGCAGTGCACCCTAAGATTATGAGAAAACGGGAAAACTCAGGCGCCCCTGGAAGCGAGAGAAACGGACCTTGCGATCAAGCACTCAAATAAACATACACACACATAGCTACATGTTTTGTCGACCCCAAATTTTTTGGCAAAAAATTGGGGGTCGACCTCTAAAAGGGTAATAGTTTCGTTAGGTTGAAAAATATTTACCAGTAACTACCAGTAAACAATGGAAAAGACGCACCACCAGCTGTGAGTGTCGGTACAGTTGCCAGGGCAGGTCTCCTGCGTCATCATAGCAAGCCCAAAGTAGCCAAATGCATGGTATGGTAGCACAGGACTATGTAAAACATAAAGTATTAATTTCTAAAGTTTATTTGTAGATACATAAATTTTTGTTCATTGCATTTGAAACATCAATCTTTGTTAATTAAATTTGAAACAAAAGAAAACTACGATACCGTATTTCTAAATACCGGGTATTTTCATTAAAATATTACATCACAAGGATATTTTACCTTAACTGTGACTGAATGAATATAGTCTCAGAAATAAATATGGAAATGCAATATTCTTGCTGAAATGACGTACGTATTACAGTGGATAGTGGGATAAAATCATGACGAAAACAATGACTTGCGCATTCTTTCGTTGTTCAAAAGATTTTACCGTAATCGCTTTTCAAATGGTTTTCAGTTAAAACACTGTTGTATACAATAATATTCCCTCCTAATTGACTTGAATAAATACTACCAGCATTTCAGTGTAAAGTGTCGTAATAATAAATGGTAAACAATTTGCCTTCGGCACTCGGTGTTTCAGGCACGGCGAGCCTCAGTTTATAGGACGTACAGTGTTTTTACTGAAGGTTTTGTTGTTCCAATACCCTCAAAAACTTGGGTCAACCTATAAACAAGGAATATCAAAAAATAGCGATTTTTTGGTCAAAAAATCGGGTCGACCTATAAACGAGGGACGGTTATAGACGAGTCCATACCAAATTTATGGTTCTGGGATTGTCTGATAGATGGGTCACATTGCGGCCTTGTGCGCGCGTGAGTCACGCCAGTCATTGTTGACCTAGCACCATATTCGAGTATCAGTGTTGTGATGCCTTGCAATTTTTGTTGATTTTTCAATGATTAGGCATCTTTCAGCCTTGTATTTTACATCATGTCTTCAAGGGGGAGTAAAATGCCGAAGAGGAAGTATGTGACCCTTTCTGTGAACCAGAAACTGGAACTTATAAGGAAGTTAGAGGCTGGTGCTTCGGTGGCTAGAGTTTGTGATGAGTTTGGTGTTAAAAAGCAAACAGTTTCGGACATACGCAAGGCTAAGGACAAACTCATTGCATTTTTTTTTTAAATATAATGTTGATGCAACTTCTAAATCATCATCTGTTGGTGCAAGGAAGCGTATGAGTGGCAAAAGAGACAAATCTTGAGGAAGCAGTGACGAAGTGGTTTGTGTAGCAACGATCCTGTGGTAATGTCGTCGTAGGTGTAGAAATACAAGCTGCTGCTGTTAAGTTAGCAAGTCATATGGGCATCGAGAATTTCGAAGCTAGTGACGGGTGGTTATGGCGATTTAGAAATCGCCATGGAATGTGTAATAAAATTATGCATGGTGAAGCTGGGAGCGCACCCACCAAGGACATCGAACCATTCAGGGAGAGGCTAAATGACTTAATGAAGAGTGAAGGGCTCCTGATTTCCCAAGTCTATAATGAGGATGAAACTGGGTTGTATTGGCGGTCCCTACCCCGGAATACCCAAGCTTTCAAGAATGAAGCCTCCTCACCTGGTCGTAAAGTAAGTAAGGAACGATTTTTGGCATTGTGTTGTGCGAACGCAGACGGTATGCACCGTTTAAAGTTAGTGGTGGTGGGGAGGTCAGCACGCCCGAGTATTTTGAAAGACATGATGCACCATCTACCAGTGCATTATTACCACTCCAAGAAATCGTGGTTCAACATGCAAATCTTTAATGATTGGTTTTTCTCGCATTTCATTCCTGCAGTGCGAAAATATCAAGAAGATGTCTTCAAACTTCCTGCTACTGAGGTGAAAGCGCTACTAATTTTGGACAACGCACCTGCTCACCCAGGTGCTGACAAGCTTGTCAGTAATGATGGTAAAATAAGATGCATGTTCTTGCCACCCAATGTTACCTCCCTCATCCAGCCTGCAAGAGAATATACCAACGAAGATATCTGGACGAAGTTCTTGCGGTTATAGAAGAAGATGAAGATCTTATGGAAGACACACGAGGACAAAGAACTGTTAATAACGTCAAGAACTACAACCTCAAGTCTGCAATATTCAACTTAGCAGCTTCATGGAAGGCACTGAAGACTATCACTCTAGCCAATGCTTGGAAAAAACTTCTGTACAATGTGGAGGTAGAATATGATTTCGAAGGATTCGAGGCAAGGGACTTTCATCGTATCCTTCAGAGGGCGGGCGAAAATGATGTCACAGAAGACAAGATCAGAAACTGGCTAGAAGACACAGAGGGTGACCCTGGATACCAACTCTTAACAGAAGAAGAAATAGCGGATGAAGTTCTCGTTGGTGACAGCAGAGATAGTGAAGATGAGGAAGACGAAGAACCATTGCCCAAGAAACCCAAACTCTCTGTTATACGAGAATCCACTGATAATGTCATTTCGTTCATTGAATTGTCAGCAGAAAGTGATGATGTTCAGCATTACTATCAACATTTTAGAGCCTTTAGGGAACTCATTATCCAGAGGCAGTATCATCAAGGTAAACAAATGAAGCAAGACTCATTCTTCAAGCCAGTTCGTCCCAACCCTGCTGCAGCTGTTGAGCCTGCTGCTGACTCAGGCCATCCTCAGTAACCTCAGCTTTCTACGAGTGGGGGACAATGACCAGTGGAGCATCATAGCTCTACTGACTCCGAATAACACGTTATCACCTCTACCCCCCACCTCCACCACATCAAGCTCATCTGTCATCTACCAAAGGTAAATGAAATTAACATATTGTAATGTTTTATATAGCTAGTTATATGATGTTTACAGTACAGAATTTCCTGTATTTTTGTTACATGTGTATCATGTTCAGCGTACAGTGTATATACGGTACTATATTTCCTAACCTAACTTAACCTAAATCGGTTAATTCGGACAATCGGCTAAAACGGACACCCTCCCCCCCCTATTAGTCAGAGGTTCACGGCACCTTAAGCTCGTTGAACAGGCTTTGTGTGAAAATATAACAAAGTCTAGGACTGCTTTTAGTATCCTGGTGGTCCAGCGGTTAGCGTTCCCCGGTCACAGTCATGGGCTCATGGGCCATGGGTTCGAATCCTGGCGAGTTGAGGTGTTGATTGTATGTAAAAGTCGGCGTGCTTTATTGGGCTAATGAAATATATGTGGATCCTCGTGTTTCGAAGCCGGATTTGGTAAAACGTTACTCTGACCACCCAAATGATACGGGTAGTCCCCATTAGAGGTTCACGGCGCCTTAAGCTCGTTGAACAGGCTTTGTGTGAAATATAACAAAGTCTAGGCTTTTAGTATCCTGGTGGTCCAGCGGTTAGCGTTCCCCGGTCACAGTCATGGGCCGTGGGTTCGAATCCTGGCGGGTTGAGGTGTTGATTATATATACAGTTGTACCCCACTTAACGCGGTCAATAGAACCCAGAGGGTCCCGCGTTAAGTGAAATCCGCGTTAAGTGAACAACAGAACATATGGGATTAATTCCAATAGAAACCAGCCCGACCCCCAAACTCCACTTTTTGAAGACACATAACTATGTTGTAGTAAAAATAACATCTTAATTTTATGATGGTACATGCACACAATTAATACTCAAGAGAAATAGAGAAATACAGTCGCCAAGTTAATGTCCATTCAAATAATGGACTCCACTCCCTCCCCCTCTTCTCACACTACACTGCTGGCTCTTCCCTCTCTGAGAAATTTTTTGGGGGAAAACAAGGTATAGAAATAAATAATACCTCAAACTAAAGTTAGGATAATATAATTGACATTGCTGGATTCCTTGTAAGACCAGGAATATTTTGAATATAAATGTCATATATTTTGCACAAAAGATAACATAGTTAATTTGAGAAAATTTTTTATCTAAAATTTGTATGTCTAATGCAAAAATATGATGTTTATATTCAAAATGATCACCAAATTATAAGAATTCCAGCAATGTAAATTATATTCTGGCTGGGTAATTTGTATGAATTTTATGAGCTAAAACAGGCAGTCAGGCAGGGTGGGGCAAATCTAAAAATAGCATCTCGAGCCGGACACTCACCGCGTATATGTGGAAAAAATCCGTGTTAAGTGAAAGTTCAGCTCTGTGAGAACTGGCATTATATGAAAAAGCAGCGTTAAGTATGAAGCCGCGCATTAGGGGCGAGGTAATGCTGTGTGTGTGTGTGTGTGTATTATATATATATATATATATATATATATATATATATATATATATATATATATATATATATATATATATATATATATATATATACTACATATATATATATATATATATATATATATATATATATATATATATATATATATATATATATATATACACAGGTAGTTCTGCTATAACACGATAATTGTGTTCTTGTAAAATATCGTGTTATAGAAAATCGCGTAATAGAAATAACAGGGCTTATGGAGGAAATAGGGTTAGGTGCAGATTACTCGAAATCGAAAAAATTTAGTAGTTAGCCTAACACAAAGGATAGCACAGTCTAAATAACTGTTACATTCATATCTAATAATGAAATCATACAGTAAATGTAACACTTTACTTGATGGGGGAGAAGGGTGATTTTGAGGTTGATAAAATTGAGCTTCTCTTCAAGTGTTATATCCTTTCTTTTACGATCATCACCGGGAATTCTATCACCAGAACGCTTCTTGTTGATATTCTTCTTTACTATATTCACAGTTAATACAGTGGGGTATGCTATAACGAACGGATCCTACTACGAATATTCCTATAACGAACGGTTTTACCTATGAAATTGAGAATGCTATAACGAACGAAACTCCTACAACGAACATTATTTATTTTATTTTTTATTTATTTTTTCTAATTTATTGTTTTTTTATTACAAATATTAATGATATTCTTTATTTCAGGGGTTTAGATGCATATTTATGCACTTTTTTACAATTTTTACAATTTTATATTATATTTTTCAGTGTTAAGTGGTTGTATTTGGGGGCCTGGAACGGATTAATCCTATAACGAACAAGGTTCTAGAACCAATTAGACTCGTTATAGCATACCCAACTGTACCACAAAATTGGAGAAATAGTAAGCAAAAATCGCGTTATAGCAAACAAGCGTTCGCGTTATAAAAATATCGTTCCTAATTCATAAATCGCGTTAGAGCAAATTCGCGTTATCAAAACACGCGTTATAGCAGAACTCACTGTATATATATATATATATATATATATATATATATATATATATATATATATATATATATATATATATATATATATATATATATATATATATATAATATATATATATATATATATAATATATATATATACATATACATATATATATGCAAGTAAATCACTTTAGGTGCGCGTGATCTAGGTATATTCTGATAACCACAAGGAAAGAAGAAAACACGAAGTTCCCAAGCGCTTTCGAGTAATTCACATCTTCAGGGGTGAGTACAGACTAAAGAGGAGTACAAAACAAGGTGTATATATACAGAGGAGGGTGAGACCAGGTCCACAATGGTCAGGTATTAGGTAATGACCCTACTAATCTTTAAATAGCACGGCAACGGTCGGTAGTCAGGTCAGAGGGTAAGGTGACCCAACCTTCTCACCTGGTTACAAATCTTCTTAATTACAAAATTGTCCAGATTGTACATGCCATTACTCAAATTCATGTAGAATGCTTCGGTATGTTTAATGAGACTAGATTCTATGATGTTTCTACTATCAATTGAATTACAAGGTAATATTGAGGAGGCATTATCCCAGTCAATGCAATGCTTGTTATCCCTCAAATGAACAAACAGAGCATTGGATTCCTGGCCTGTCCTAAAACTATATTTATGTTGTTTAAGTCTAGTTACAAGATCTTTACCTGTCTGGCCTAAGTAAAACATATTACATTCCTTGTAAGGAACTTCATAAATGCAACCAATTGTGTTGTTGGGGGAGTTCTTGATTAACATTTGTTTTACAGTGCATGAGTTTTTAAATGCCACATTGACATAAGAACAGAGGAAACTGCAGCGGGCCTATTGGCCCATACTGGGCAGTCCCGTTTACACCCAACCCCTATTGCTCATATAAGCATCCAACCTATGTTTGAAGCTATTCAGCGTATTCGAGTTAATGATGATATTTGGTAACTTGTTCCATTCATCCACTACTCTGTTTCCAAACCAGTGTTTACCTATTTCCCGCCTAAATCTAAATTTGTCTAATTTAAAACCATTGTTATGAGTTCGCTCCTGGTTGGATAGTTTGAGTACCTTTGTAATGTCCCCTTTGTTTAGCCCTGCCTTCCACTTGTACACCTCTATCAGGTCGCCCCACGCTCTAAGTTTCTCGAGGGAGTGCAAATTAAGATGCTTTAACCTGTCTCTATACTCAAGGTTCCTAATGCCCGGGATTAGTCTTGTCATTCTCCTCTGAATTCTTCCAAGGATTCTATATCCATTCTGTAATACGGTGACCAGAACTGAACTGCGTAATCCAGGTGTGGTCTCACAAGAGCAAGATACAGTTTTAAGATGACCTCGCTAGTCTTGTAACTAACACTCCTTTGTATGAACCCAAGTACTTTATTAGCCTTGTTACGAACAAAAACACATTGTTTACTTGGCTTAAGGTTCCTACTTATCATTACTCCTAAATCTCTCTCGCAGTCGGATTTCTCTATGGCATTGTTGTTCATCTGGTATCTGGTTTCCCTGTTTACATCTCCTATACTGAGTACTTTACATTTGTCCACGTTGAATTTCATCTGCCATTTTTCAGACCATTCAAAAAATTTGTTTAGATCTTCCTGTAGTTTTGCGGAGTCCTCGTCAGATTTAATAACACGTCCTATTATAGTGTCATCAGCAAATTTACTTATGTTGCTGTCTATGCCGATATCTATGTCGTTTATGTATATAATAAATAATAATGGTCCAAGTACTGAGGCTTGGGGAACTTCACTTGTGACGTTGCTCCAATGGGACTTACTGCCGTTAATGCTCACTCGCTGTTTCCTGTCCTGTAACCACGCCCTAATAAGGTGTGTCATACGGAGGCGAATTTTTTTTTTTTGAGTTTGAAAAATCGTCCCATGGTATTAATGATGTAGTTCTATGTGCAGAATCATGTGATATCTTCAGATTTGAAAAGTTGTCATTTTTTGCTAGGTAAATTTTAACTTGAAATCTTATGAAAATTCAGTATTCCCACCCTTTTACCAACACCACTAAATAGCTTATTTAAAGTAAAGTAAATGTATCAGGTTAATTTATTAGGATGAAAATGATCCAGAATAGTGAAACGAATGATCTTGACACATTTATTAAATTTAATATTCCTTTAGAAAACAAAATCATCAAATACAAAACCGGTTTTACTACTACGACCCGGTGTTGCTGCACACCATAGAGAATATGTCTTTCTTGCTTCTGTTTCTACTCATCACCTCCCTGCTGACCACCTGAGCTCGGATGTAGCCTTCCCTCCTCTCATGGCTGTACACGTGACTGCTGGCCTCGCCACTTGCTGTACACAACGCCTATACTCTGGTGTGCGAGGGCCAGGTAGGGACATGCATGGGGTTGTCCAGGAGCTCTGACTTGAACATTGGTGAGGC